ACTTCTATATGCAGGGCTCACTCTTGGCGATGCTCGGGGACCCTCTGGGGTACCAGGGCTGGAACCTGGCTCGGCCATGTACAAGGCAAGTGCCCTCCCCACTGTCCTGTGACTCCAGCCCCCGCGGTTTCTTCTTGAAGCAAAGCTACATCGAAGAGCACTACCAAAGAGACTTAACTGTTTTCTGTTTAGCCTCCCTATTTCGCCCCTGCACAGATGCAAAAGCATCTTCTAGACAAATCGGGCTTCCATGGAATAGCCCAAGAAGCCACAGATAACCTGAGCGGGCAGAGTCCAGGCACAGCCACCCTCCTAGCTGTTCCTGCTGAAACTTCAACAATCACTTTTTTTTTCTTTTTGGATCACACCCAGCGATGCACAGGGGTCACTCCTGGCTCTGCACTCAGGAATTACTTCTGGCGGTGCTCTGGGGACCCTATGGGATGCTGGGAATCGAACCCGGATCGGCCCCGTGCATGGCAAACACCCTGCCCGCTGTGCTATTGCTCCAGCCCCTCAACAATCACTTTTACATAAAATGGTGACATATAAAATGGTGACCCCTGATAGCCATTATCGCATCCGAGGCAGGGAAGCAGGGCTGGTGAAACTAAAGTCAGAGGGAGGACGTCCGTTAAAATAAGTCTTTGCCGAGCACAGAGCGTTCGAGCTGGGAAGGGCCTTCCTGCTCTTGATGTCGTCAGGATACCCTGTTCTTACTGCGGTGCCAGGATGCACACGTGCAGGTCGTGTGCTGTGCTGCCCAGCCCCTACTGCTGTTTACACGTCCTTTGGTTAGCTTTTATTATTATTATTATCTTGCTTTTTGGGTCACACCTGGCGATACTCGGGAATCACTCCTGGCGGTGCTCGGGGGACCATATGGGATGCCAGGGATCGAACCTGGGTCGGCCATGTGCAAGGCAAACGCCCTCCCCGCTGTGCTGTCGCTCCAGCCCCGTTCAGCCTTTTGAAACCACCCAAGTAGATCGGCCAAGAGGGACTTAAGGGGAAAACCTGCCGCATTGTTAAGTTGTGGGCCAGGGCGTGAACTAACAGAAGGAGCGTGCAGTCTTTGGGCGCTGGGAAACTCCAGTTTGCGTCCCGGTTCTGTGAGACAGCTCCCCCAGTGGGGCTCCCTTCCTGCGCGGTGGCAGTAATGCGTCCGCTTGCGCGGTGTAGGGATTTAGCCAAGTATCGTGTATCCGTCGCAGGCTACGAATAGAAGCTGGGTTGTTAATTCCTTTGTCCAGGACTAGGAAGTCGCCGGAACTTTCTGGAAGCAGGTGTGGGCGCCCTCAGACCCCAAGTGCTGGCTCACCCACCCTCTGCAGCGGTTCTGAGTAAGACAGCATCCTCCTAACACCTTTTCGGATGCTGAAGATTCATTCTCCTGCTGGCCTCTGCTGAGTGTGTCCTCCCCACCTGGCGCCGTGTTCTCCTTTATCTTGATGCAGGGGCTTTGGGTGTTTTTGATCAGCGGAGCCCCGAGGCTGACTGTGGCAAGGCCTGAGGGGTCCGGCCCGCCTGCGTGGGGCTGACTGCCCACTCTGCGCCGCGTGGCCCAGGCCTGTGCGTGCGTTCCTTTGCCCGCGCTGGCATTGGCACCCGTGAGCAGCCACTTCTCCCCGGGCATCGAGCCATGCAGTTGCCCGTTTCACTTTCTGAAACAAAACGCCGATCTCCTCCTCGTCTTTAAAGCCTTTCCGTTGACTTTGAGTTGGTTCCTCCCAGATTGGCCTAATCAGAGGACAGACCTGACAAATTTTTTGGTTTCTAGGCCACCCCCCAGCAGTGCTCAGGGGTTTCTCCTGTCTCTGCACTCAGGAATCACGCCTGGCGGGGCCCAGGGGGCATATGGGATGCCGGGGATCGAACCCGGGTCGGCAGTCAAGCTCCCTACGTGCCGTACTGTCTCTCCAGCCCTGATTCTTGTCAGCGTGTCTTCTCTGTCCTTTGTTACTTCCCAAAAAAGCAAAGACTCCAGAAGGGTCTAAAGGCTTTGGCGTTTCACTTGCATTGGTGCTGCAAACTGGCCCGCCGCTAACATCTAGGCTGCTTTATTTTTTATTATTATTACTTTAATTAAACACTGTGGTGTATAATGTTGCTCTTCATACAGTTTTGGGCATTTACTGTTCTGACACCAATCCCACCACTACCGGTGTGACCTTCCCTCCACCACTGTCCTCAGTTTCCCACCCACCCTATACGCCTGCTCCTATGGCGGGCACAAAATCACTTGTTTTATATGGTCTGTTACAACAAAATGGCAAGTGGAATTGTCGCAAAATGGTTCATAAACGAAAACTTGTGGAACCTGTTCCAGCCCGCGACGGGGCAGCTGATGCCATTGTCTGAGGGTCACCAGCTTCTCGGTGCTGGGTGGGCTTCTGTGTTCCTGCTTCTGCTCCTCAGGCTCGGTGGGCTTCTCTGTCCCCCCAGGGCTCTCTGGACCCTGTTGTGTGATGGCACGTGTGGCTGTGGGCTCCAGGATCTGGATGGTGGCCCAGTTCTCGGGCCGCCCTGCCCCCACGGGTCCTGGGTTTCCCACCCGCGACCCGTGTGCCCGTGAGTGACACCGGCTGCATCTCTCCCGAGTCGGTCGTGAAGCTGGGCCGATTTCGTGGCAGCGGCTGTGGGGCGTGGGTGAGGGGGTGAGGCTGCTGGGACTTCCGGCAGCACCAGGGTGCAGGGGAGGCCGCCCACCCCGACGCCGAGAAGACCCCAGAGTTTTCAGCCCGCAAACTGGTACACCTGGGAGCGTCATCGGCTTGGCGTCTCTGAGAGGTCAGGTGTGGGTCAGTACAGCTGGCCTGTAGGTGCCAGGACACTGTCAGGGCTTCAGCAGGGTGGGGACTCGACCACCCCCAGAGCGCTCAGCCTGAAGACCCAGCAGTTGAGAGTGGCATCGGCTTGGCTTGGCATCCCTGCCGGAGTCGCCGTGAAGCTGCTCAGTGTTTGCATGGTGGCTGCGAGATGGCCACTCTTTTTCTTTTTCTTTCTTTTTCTTTCTTCTGTTCGTTTCTCGGGGCCGCACCCAGCAGTGCTCAGGGCTGATGCTTGGCTCTGCATCAGGAATCACCCTGGGCAGGGCTTGGGACTCTCCGGGGTGCCGGGAATCGAACCTGGGTCAGCCACGTGCCAGGCCAGCGCCCTCCCTGCTGTCCTGTCTTTCTGAAGCCTTACATCAGGTCCACTCTTAGCGACCGACCATCACACAGAGAAATCATCCCGGGGACTCTGGCGCAGAGCACGGGCAGGAACTTAATCTTTGTGCCATAAAACGGCTGGGAGCTGAAGGGGCGCACGCGTGTGGAGTGCCTGTTGGCTGGAGTCGGGGCCTGAGCCGGCGGCTCTCCCCGAGTTTCCCACGCTGTGGGCCCCGCCGATGCCCGCCCCGTGGCTTCTGCTTTAGTTCCGGCTAATCCTGCCTCTGTGTTGTCGTGTCGGCCGCTTGCTTCTCTGGCCTCTCCTCCGATGGGAGGATTAGTGCTAAGTTTCCGCCTGGAATTCCTGGGACCTGCTTCCCGGCCGCCCGGATCCAGATCCGGGTCCTCCCTCAGTGGTTGCTGGTGCTCCCTGTGGGAGCCGCAGCCCAGTTTCTCTTCTCCCTGCTTGGCTGCATGCAGCCTCAGTTCGGGAGCCCAGACAGGGTGGGGCGGAGCCCCTCACTGCCGCCTGCCAGTCGGGCCCTGCCCTCTCGGTTCCTCCTTCCCGAGAGGAAGCTGCCTCGGCGAAGTGTGACCCGGCCAGCTCCCACCCCCCCAGACTTGTGTTGGGGCCGGGGGCTGGGGCTTTGTCCCCTGCTGCTTGCTGTCCCCGAGTGCGAGTGTGCGGCAGGGCCGAGCGTGGGTGGGCAGTGTCCATCCCGCCGTGGACGTGCTGACCCCTGAGCTCTCCCTTCCTGCGTCCCTTCCCCACTCGCTCCACTCCTCCTAGGGGTATCCATGGACAGTGGGGGCAGCCCCCGCCCCCGAAACCTTGGACTGACAGCAGACTGACCGGGTCTGGTAATCTCCCTTGCTCTGACCTGGCCTGTGGGGAAGCCCCTCTCCCCCTTCACTGTCCACCGTGGTAACCCCTTCTCTGCTTCCTTCGTCTTCTAGAAGACTCTGAGGAGCAGAGCGAGCGGGACTGACACCTGGGCACACGTGGGCTTTTCACGGAAGGGGCTCTGGGGCACCTTCAGCTGGCCGAGCGTGGCGCTGGCTTTCCGTGACCGGCTGTCTTACCTTTTGTTTCTGTTCCTTCTATTTTTTGTTTTCTCGAGTTTTGTCGTGACTCAGAAGGAAAGTGTTTGGCCGTCGGGCTTTGAGCGTGAGTGAGGTGTGTGTGGAAGGGCTGGGATTCCCCCCCACCCCGTAAGCAGGAGGCTCTCCCCAAAGTCAGGCCCCCGGTGAATAAACGGGTCTGGGCGCTAGAACCCAGAGCGTCTGCCTGCGCGGGCCCGCTGCTGAATCGTGAGGCAGCAGAGCGTCGTCTTAAAGCACGGGGTTGATGTCTTTCGAGGACCGTCGAGTAATCCGTGCTCCCCCACTCCGTCTCCTTCCAGGCGAACTGCACTTCTGGAGCTGCAGCGGTCAGGAGCGCCGCGTTCTTCGGACGGAAGGTCTCGCTGCTGTGCTTCGAAAGCTTCGTACTTTACCCAAGAAGAATCGACCCGCCAGCCCTCCGCCGGCATGGGGGGCATCTAGGCATTGCGCCCGGGGACAGGCACCGCCAGGGCGCCCGGAGACACCGGCCAGCGAGCCAGCGCCTGCCCGGCATGGACTTCCTGAGGCCGAGGGCCGGGGCGTGCGGCCGGCTGGGGGGCAGCGGCTGAGACGTGGGGCCGGCTCCGTGCTGCAGTTCCTCCCTGGCCGTGAGCCCGGCACCGGGGTTCGGGGGAGCAGCCCAGCCCGCGGCATGAGCGGCCCGAAAGAGGAAGCCGCGCCTCTCGCCGCCGTCTACAGGGGCTCCGGCCCGTCTCCCAGCCCCCGGGTTTGAAGCGACCCCCTCCAGCCCCGGCAGGACCCCGCCAGCTGTCTAGGGAGCGACACCCCGGCAGGCAGATGTCTGCCAACAGCTCCCCACCCCCAGCACCGAGGACGCAGCCGCCCGCCGTGCCCCCCGCGCCCTCGCCGACGTCCAGCCCCAAGACGGGACTCGCCGCCCGGCCGTCCAATGGTGGCAGCTTCGGGGCCGCATCGCTCACCGCCTCCCGCGGCTCCGTGCACACCGTGTCCTTCCTGCTGCAGATCGGCCTGACGCGCGAGAGCGTGGCCCTGGACGCCCAGGAGCCGTCGCTGTCCGCCGTCAAGGACCTCGTCTGCTCCATCGTCTACCAGAAGGTGGGTGCGTGCCTGGCCGGGACCCAGGCCCCCGGCCCCACACGTGGCGCGTGCACGAGGAGACCCCTCGGGACGCTCCCGCTCGCCCTCGAGGCCGGCCCCCAGCCCCCAGCCCCCAGTGGGAGCCATCGTCCCAGCTTTATTTTTCATTCTTATTTGTGCTGATTCTGGGGCCACGTGTGACTCTCACGGTTTTGAACACGGGAGGGGAGACACGGACGTTTGACAGGGAGGTCCTGCTTGCACCCACTGACTCCCCCCTGCAACTCCTGCCCAGAGAGATTTTCAGGAACCCTCATTGGGTGTCTTTAAGACTCATGATTTTGGGGGCCGGAGAGATAGGTAGGGCTCTTGCCTTGCACGCAGCTGACCCAGTTCAGTCCTGGCATCCCACTTGGTCCCCTGAGCATTGCCGGGGGTAGTTCCTGAGCACAGAGCCAGGAGTAGCCCCTGAGCTCTCTCTCTATGGTCTCTCAGGGGTTCCTCCTGGCTCTGCACTCGGGAATTACTCCTGGTGCTGCTCAGGGGACCATATGGGATGCTGGGGATCGAACCCGGGTCGGCCGCGTGCAAGACAAAAGCCTTCCCGGCTGTGCTATCGCTCCTGCCCCAGAGCTGATCTATTCTTGATCCTGTCATAAAACTATGATTCCTGTGAATTAATTTTTTAATTCATTTTCCTCTTCCTTCCCTTTCACTGTTGTTAGGGCACCAGGAACTGCACCATTGTTTGCAGTGAAGGCTGAGGACTGGCACCCCAGCTGGGGTCTGCCGGGGGTGACCAGCCTTGGGTCCCAGCTGGGCCCGTGGGGACCCCGGGGCGATGCTGGGAGGGCGTCTGCAGGGCTGCAGATTCTCCGCCACTGAGCTCTCTCTCACCCCTCAGTCCACCTTTAAGGCATCAAGGATAAGTTTCAAGCAAATCAGAATACTTCCAAAAATGGGCGAGGTGGATCTCTGTGGATTCTGAGTTCCATCTTAATGTGTTTGCTTCTATCCTTTGTCACTGGCCTGTGATGTCAGAGAAATTAACAGTCGAAAAAAAAAATGTTGGGTGATCCATCAAAGTGGCGCAGACTTCCTGCGCTTTATTGCTTTATTAATTCTCGCCGTGCGGGGCCTGAACCAGCCCTCCCGGGGGCCAGGCCATGCTCTGCCTTCCTGCGTCCCCGTGGGCCTGGCTTGCTGGCTGGGCCTTAGAGGAAGGTCCCCTCTCCTTTGGGATTCGGCAGGGTCCTCGCCACATCTTCAAAGGCCTTTGCTTGCAACTGTCCATCCCTCGCTGTGACAGAGATTTTTTTTTTTTCCCAAATGTTTGTTGGTAACAAGGTTGTGGTTTTTAATTTTTGTTTGTTTGTTTGTTTGGGGGCCACACCCGGCAGTGCTCATGGCTAACTTCTGGCTGCACTCAGAATCACTCCTGGTGGTGCTGGGGGACCCGATGGGATGCTGATGCTGGGGTCCAACCCTGCTCAGTCGCATGTAAGGCAAATGCCCTCTCCACTGTACTATCACTCTAGCCCCTGGCCCCTGTGCTTTCTGTTTTTGTTTTTGGCTTTTTGGGTCACACCCAGCGATGCTCAGGGGTTCCTCCTGGCTCTGCACTCAGGCATTACTCCTGGCGGTGCTCGGGGGACCATAGGGGATGCTGGGAATAGAACCTGGGTCGACCTTGCAAGGCAAACGCCCTCCCCGCTGTGCTGTCGCTCCCCTCCTCCCCTTCTTTTTAATCCGCCTGTGCTTTTTAGTTTAAAAGGAAGACTTTCTAGCTTCCATGCCATTGGCGACTCGGATGATTCCTTTCCCTCTGCGCCCGTGGAGACCCAGAGACCCGTGTCTGGTGGCGTCAGTGGGGCCGAGTCAGTTTCCAGTCCTGACGGCTTCCCTTACAGCAGACTGTGCTGTAAGATTCTCTGCAGATTGTGGGGCTGTGCAGGCCTCTTTCATGGCCACCGTTGCTTCGTTTTTGAGTCCCCGGGGAGAAGTGGGTCAGAAAGGTTCATTTCTTGGGAAACTAGATGAAAAACCACGATCCATGAAAAATGTGAGTGATGTCAAGGAAGTCAAATCGTTTTCTGGGATTTTGCTGGAGTTATTGTTCTGACCATGTTTTGGTAGACTATTTAGGATTTTGTTTATGGCATCACATCTGCAGATAGAGACCGTTTTACTTCTTCCCTTTCAATTTTGATGACTTTGTTGTCCTTTTCTTGCCTAATTGCTTTGTCCTTCATCTTAGGAAAAGCTTCCATCTTTTTACCCCGAGTATGTTGGTTTGTTCGTCATAGGCTTGTCCTTCTATGACCTGATCAGGTTGAACTTTGATCATGAATGGATATTAGATCTTATCAAAATTTTTTTTTCTCTGTAGAGAGATGATCACAATTTTTGGCCTGCCTTTTCTTCACGTGGCACTTTGCTTTGATTTGTGAAATTGTACCGAGCTTGCATCTCCGAATCAATCTCACTCTGTCATGATGTATGTAATCGTTTCGGTGGACTGTTGCATTCAGGTTGTTGATGTTTTATTGAGGGCCTTTGCGGTATGCTCCTGCAGGATACTGGCCTTTTTTCTCTCTCGCAGTATTCTGGTCTGGCTTTTGTGTCAGTGTTACACCAGCCTCATCAGATGAGTTTGGAAGTATTACCTCTCCCCCAGACTTTAGGAAGGTTTTTGAGAAGGATTATTCTTGATTAGTATTGATTCTACTTTGAGTGTTTGGTGGAACTCACCAGTTAAGTCATCTTTTCCTGGACTTCCCTTTACTGAGAATTTTTGGATAGTTCATTCACTGTCCTTACCAGAAATTGGTCTGGTTCAGATTTTTGCTTCCTTCACGATTCAGTCTTGGCAGGGCGTGTTTCTAGAACGTGCCCATTATTTTCTCTGGCTGTCAGAGTGGACCCCGGTAGCCTGTCCTCTCCGTCTGGCTGCTGTGCGAGTCCGAGTTTGAACACGCGCCTCCCTTTCTTGTCACTTGCTCTGCAGTTTGCACCCTGGGGACCCTCTGTTCCGTCTCACATTCTCTCTTTCTCCCCCTCACCTCTGAGTAAGCATCACCCCAGCCAGCTGCCATCCTCCGTCCCTGCGCTGGCGGAGTCACTGGCAGGCCCCGTGTGATGTTCTTGCTCTCTGCAGGCTTCCTCGTCGTCATCATTCCTGATATGGGTCATTTCTGGCCTCTCCTGGCCTGGACCCGGCTTCCTTCCCAATGAATGAGCTCTTGTTTTATTTATTTCCTCTCTTCTCTGTTTCTTACATTTTGGGGGGGGGGGGTGTATATGTGTGGCCAGGGGTGGGGTGGGGGTTTCTGTACCTGGCCATGTTGGGGGCTGACTTCTAACCGCACTCAAGGATCACTCCTGGCGGGGCCCAATGTCTGTAGAAAGTGCCAGATTGAAGCCAGGGTGACTTGGTCCTGTGCAAGGCGAGCGGCCCTACCCCCCCACCCCCGCCACCCAGTCCCCTCTCTCTGGTCCCCGTGACACTTTCTCTAAGGGCAGGTCGTGTGACCATCTTCGGGCTGTTTAGTCAGCTCCTGGGATTCTTTTTTTTCAACTTGAAAAAAATAATTTTATTTATTCATTTATTTTTATTTTTATTAGTGAAACACCGTGAGGTACAGTTGTAGACTTACAAATTTTTGTGCTTGGGTTTCGATTATACAGTGATCAAGTACCCATCCCTCCACCAGTGCCCATTCTCCATCACCACGAATCCCAGTATCCTTCCCACCCCCTACCCCCCCCATCCCACTCCACCCCTGTGGCAGGGCATTCCCTTTTGTTCTCTCTCTCCTTTTGGGTGCTGTGGTTTGTGAAAGAGGCATTGAGTGGCAATCATGTTTGGTCTAGAGTCTACTTTCAGCATGTTTCTCCCATCCTGGGAGGCTCCTCCCAACACCCTTTACTTGGTGCTCCCTTCTCTATCTGAGCTGCCTTCGGAGCTCAGCTTCCCTTTCCTTTGCAGTTCCCATGGGCTTTGGGACGTGTTGGCAGCTGCACCCCAAGGCCTTGCCCGAGGCCAGCACTACCGCCCTCCTGCACACCCTGGGCCGACCTCACGAGCAGGTCTGGTGTGAACCGCTGCTAGTGGCCTCTTTCCTCCCTCTCTGGGGACCCTGCCCTGTCCTCGTGGGGCCACTTGGGCTTCCTGAGCCGTGTCTGCCCCGTGGGCTCTTGCCACAGGCCTTTGCCTGCACCTTCACTGTGTCCCCGACGCCCGGTGAGTGTTGCGGGCCGCACGCGGTGGACTCGGCCTTGAGAGTGCCCGCGTCTGGTCCTGCTCTCGGTGTGGGGATCGCCCGTGCATGGGAATGAGGTTACACTCACCCAGGAGCAGCTGCCGCTGGTCAGCTGTGCTTGGATTAAGGTGTTTTTTTTTTTTTCCACAGGGACGCAACGAGTATTGTGTTGCGATTGTCAAGATTTTTCCCTTCTGCTCTGGGTCGTTTTCTCTGGTCTCTCCCTGATAGAGCTGCATGACTCCGCTGCTTTTGCAGAGTGGCTAAAGCGGGTCGCTGACACCCTGGGTGGTGGGAGACAGAAACTTGCCTGTTGCTGTCACAACCAAACAAGAACCAAACAAGAAAAACAGTTGGACTTGGGGCTGGAGCGATAGTACAGCAACTAGTGCATTTGCCTTGCACGCGGCCATCCCGGGTTCGATTCCCAGCATCCCATACGGTCCCCTAAGCACTGCCAGGAGTCATTCCTGAGTGTAGAGCCAGGAGGAACCCCTGTGCATCGTCAGGTGTGACCCAAAAAGCAAAAACAGTTGGTCTTTGCCGTGGTCAAATGAACCAAGCTCTGATCCTTTCCCATCAGCTCTAAAATCTGTGTGATGTAGACCTCGTCATGGGGGCCCGAGAGGTAGCACAGCGGGGAGGGCACTTCTTTGCACGACCCGGGTTCAACCTTCGGCATTCCATATGGTCCAACCAGGAGTGATCCCTGAGCTCAGAGCCGGGAGTCAGCCCTGGGCATCACCATCGTGGTCC